GCGGCAGGTCCCTTCCGGGCGGGGGACCGCCCCTCCCGAAACGAGCGAGTATTTCCACCCTCTAGAATTGCTCCCTGCGAGGCTGCCGCGGGAACTTTCCCCCGCCCGCCCCCGGCCCTTCCTCCCTCCCGCCCGGAAGAAGTGGGAGAAGCGACGCGCGCCAGCCGGCCTTTCCCCATCCAGCTCCTCCAGGGGACGCGCGAGAAGGGTCTTGCTGGCGTTAGGCAAAGCTTGGGGCATTTCGAAGAGGGGCGGGCAGCCTGTTGGGAAGAAAAGGGCAGCTGTCCATAGAGCAGGAGGGTTAAACTCTTAAAAGGTCGCTAGTCATTATTAGGCTTTAGCCGGATTCCCTGACTCAAGTCTTAGTGGAGTGAACTGGATTGGATTAGATGATTTTACTCCTGTTCGGACCTTGAGTTTCTAGGAACAAATGTAGAGAAGACTGAATTAAGTAAGCGTAAATAAACTTGTGAACACAATGTGGTCACATGTTTAATCTTTTTGACAATGAGTTAAGGTTGTTAGTCCCGATTTACAGATTAGTAAAGTGAGATTGTGAGGTTCTAGAGGCTGGGTTTTATTCGTTTTTGTAGCCTCAGCACCCGGGTTCAAATAAGCGGATGTTAAGTGGATGATGAGGCCCATGTGGATGATTGTGTGCCCACGGTCAGTCAAATAGGGCAGCAATGTGTGTCTTCATCCACTTGTCCCCTCTGCTGTTCCTGATTACCACATACTAACCAACCAATAACCAGATAGTAATCGCCATAGACCTTACTCTGACCCCTTCAACTATCTCCCAGGAGATAAAGCCATAGTTGAAAGAGACACTAGTTTGTGAGGCTTGATTTTTACGACCTCATTAACTTTTATCTGTGTTCTCAGCCCCCAAAAAACGAATGTTTACGATTGCTGGCATGGCCTCAGTAAAGTACGAAAGAATTTAGAGGCATCTCTTTTAATCCTAGGACAGTTAGTACCTGGCACGGAATAGGGAATTGACACGTTTGTGGCTTTTGTTAAGAGTATGTATCGTTCCCTCCGCTCGGTTGGTTGGGCTGTTTCTTCATCTGTTTTGGTGGAAGCCACAAGGGGGTGCTATGGAACCATTTTTAAGGCTTCTCTTTGCCAGCAGTGGTGAAAACCATGCAGCGGTCCTGGGAAGAAAGCCGTTTTGCCCGCCGGTACCAGTGCCTTCGTTCTGCTGGCGTGGTGCTCTGGCAGCAAGGGACTGTTGATTTGAGCTGGCAGCTGGACATCAGCTCTTGGTTGGCTAAAATGACTCCTCTGCGAACCAACTCGTAACAAAGGTACACCTCAACTACATTTGGACTTTATTTCTTTCACCTCCCTTCTGCCTGGAACAATAGTGATAATTAACTTATCCTTGGTTTGGAATATGTTATTTCCTTATTGGCTCATTAAGAGGCATTATCCTGTATTCTATTGGCTTGTATGGTATTATCATAAGTTATAATTCCCGCAGTGAACCTGTGTTAAATGAATTACTGGCAAAGACTAGTAGTCTCTGAGCATAATTTGCCAGTTTCTGAGCATAATTTGCCAAAAAAATAACAGTTTTTTTTCTGTGTGTGAACTCGGCCATTTGTATTTCTTTTGTCAATTTTCAGTTTCTGTCCTTTGCCCGTTTTTCTACAGGTTCTTTATAATTTTTTTAAAAGTAAGCTTTTAAGCGTTTTATCTGGGATAATATTTTACATACGTTTATTGTTTTTTGTTTGCTTTTTAGTTTTGTTAATGACACAAACATTTAAAATTGTTGTGAAATCAAGTCTACTAATCTTTTCCTTTACAGGTTCTTTTGTTGGTCTTATGCTGAAATAATCTTTTCTTCTACCCAAGATCTGGTTGCATTTTTTACTTTGACTTTTTACTTGATCTGTAATTTATTTTGGAGTATGAGATGAGGAGAATTATTTTTCTCTCTCTGTCATAATACTTCTTTCTTATTGCTCTTTATCTCATATAACAGCCTGACATTAAATTTGTGAAAATAAAATAGCTTCATCTGATGCTTAAGTAACTTACTAAGGCATTCATTTTCAAACTTTAACTGCATCAGAATCACCAGGAGGTGATTGTTAAAATATAGAGGTCTGTGTTCTATCCCCAGAATTTCTAATTGGATAAATCTGAGCTGGAGCCTGAGTGGCTGCACTTCAAACAAGTTCTCAGGTGATGCTGCTGCTGCTGCCCCAGGATCACACTCTGAGAACCACTAGCCTAAGGCTTTCCCCACCCAACCCCACATTAGCCAAACAGTACAGTAATTCTCACTGTTGCATGAATAAATAGGCTGTAGCTTTCTCACCTGTGTGTTTCCACATGGTCTTCCACCTGCAGTTTCTTTCCTTTGTTTCTGTCTGAAAGATGAAACTCACAATTTATCTCTTCTATGAAATCTTTGATTTTCCCTAGCAGAGATCTCTGAATACTCTTCAGAGATTTTACAGTATTTGGTACATTAGCCCACTTATCAAAATACATTTACTGTGGAGCTAATGAAGCTTAAGCTTCAAATCCCCTCAATTGCATGAACCTCTTCTAAGATGAGGTACTTAATTTTGCATTCATAATTTTATGTTACTTTTCTTAAATTGGTTCCCCCAGTTTTCATAAGATTATGCCCTTACAAAATTTGGATTCACTCCTGTGTATCATATTGTCTCTCTACTCAGACTTTGAATTCTGGTTCAATTATATTCCGCTCTTTCCATCTCCCTGCTTTGCACAGTGTCTTGTATAGATCCTCAATAAAATATTTATTGCATGTCTATCTTATGTCCAGCACTGTACTAGGTACTGGGGATATGGCATGGATCAAGATGGACATGGTCCTTGCCCTGCTGGTCCTTACAGTAGAAAAGATAGGCAAGTGAACAGCACTGGAATGTGATGGCTAAATGCGAAGTAAACAAGAGTGTATGGGAGCTCATGACAGGTGCCTAGCTTGGTCTAGGGAGAATGGGGCAGGTAAAGAGTCTAGGAATTCAGCTTGTTGAATTAATTGATAAACTCTATCCTGGCCACCTAGCCTGATGACACTTGTGTAGACCTAACTGTGTGACATAGTCCTGATTCAGACATGAGGCAGCCGCATGCTGTAGTCTTACATCAGGGACCTCATATCCCCAGCTGAGACATCTGGATTCCATAATTCTGAGCTACCTACACAGCAGAGGTCTTCCAAACAGCCAGCCTAGTGCTTTTGAAACCAGCAAGCTCAGATCTGGCCAGCCAGTCAACCCACTCAGACACTTTGCTTCCTTATAATGGAACAGAGATGTCTTTTGGCTTCAAAAGACTTACCCTATTTCTCCTCTGAACCTAATCTCTGCGGGGTCTACCTTGACTCGGTATTAAGTCGAGTTCTCTGTTCAGCTATAGAACTTTTTCACTGAGTGTTCAATTTCTAATTGCTATCAGTCTGTATTTTTTCTGTAACGGGATGAATCAATGAATGTAATATCAGACTAGACTTTTTTGTTAGAATATTAATGATACCTTCTACAGTGTTTGTGTGGCCCTTTTCATTTTCTAGAGTACTGACTTTATTTCCAGCACCTGGGAATGAAGGTCAAGTGTTGTATCCATTTGATAGATTTGAACTCAGAAACTCATACCTGTGAAGATCCAAAGGCTAAAAACCCTGTTGAGGGAGATTGAGATTTATAGATGATGAAAAGAAGCATTTCCTCAGTGAATGGATATATTTGATGTCCCTTGGAAGAAAACTCATTGATAGTTTAGGTCTTTGGTGGCCATTAATGCTATTCAATGATATCCAGCTTCTGGTGCTTGCTACTCTCAGGCATACGGGCAATTTTACTCCCTGTTCCATTGGTAGCTAGGAAGAGCCATATGACTTGCTTTGGCCATCAGAATGTCAGTAGAAGAACTGTGTCTTACTTCTAGGTGGAGGCAATTTATTTCCAGTGCTTGCTTCTCTCACTTTCCCTTCCTCTGTCTGGAGAGCTGTCAGGGCACAAAGCAGACATGACATGAGCAAGAAACACTTGTTGTGTTAAGTTGATAAGCTTTTGGGACTCTTTGTTATTGAAGAATCACTTTTCATCACTGACTGATGCAAGGGCTAAATTTATACATTCATTCATCCAAGGCGTGAGTCTAAAATAAGGGACAGAATCTGTTAAAATCTATATTTTGTTAGTGTGCCTTTGGCGTTTAAATTCAATTATTCATTCATTTAACAAGCATTTGTGAAAGCCTGCTATTTACAAGCTACCTGTGGTAGCCACTATGGAGGGACAATACAAGAATATATTTTCAGTTACTTCAATAGTGGTCTTAACAGGCCACACTGAAAATCCATGTAAATCTGTTAGAATTGTAATTTTCTTGAAGTATTTTCATGTAGCAGTTCTCATGTCTTACACCAAGTGGTGCCACATACTAAATGGTAACCATGGGAGCTGCTTCTGATGATCAAGAAATTTCAGAGTTTACCTATTCCAAACTTTGACTGGCCTAAACTGAAAAAGCATTGCTTTTTCTGCTAGCAATGGGAGTCAAAAACCGGAAAGCATAATTATTTAAAGTGATCATAATTACAATAAAACACCACCTTCTGGAGGGAGTGGATTGGGACTCTCTGGTGTCTTCCGCAGTAGACTGTATGCTTTGTGAAGGCAAGAAATGAGTCTATGTTGTTGACTGCTAACCTCCAAAGCTACCCTAGCACAATGCTGACAGAGTGATCACCTAGTATTTATTGTATGAATGAAGCATAAAAGGAAGGGATACATTAAATCATCACCACAGTGTAAACATTTGTATAAGGTTTAGTCCGTTTTGTGTGTTCAAAGTATGTTTAAGAGCAAAGATTTACTTACTAGGCGTTCCTCTCATTTTCAATTTTCCTCCAAAATATGTTTTGAAATGTAAAATCTGTTTTGAAGTAGGAAAATTGGTGGGGGAGGGTGACACCAAAACAAGCTTAGCTTAGTTACCCTTAAAGCTACAAGAGTTTTAGGTACTTTGGAGCCATTAAGAAAAGAAAAAAAGATTTAAGGAGGAACATCAAAATGAATGTAGACCACAACTGTTCTGCCTTTCACAGATGTAAAATCCCTTTAAGAATTTTTAAGTGGATTATGTGTCATTGCTTTGCTCATAAAAATGATGAGGCTTGGTAGTTTATTTGGACAATAATCTCACTAAATTTATTATTTCCATGTTTAATCCGCATGCCTTTTGGATATTTTTCATGACTTTTTATCAACTTTCTAAATGTATATAAGAACAGAATAATAAACGTACCCTCATATGCTCATCATCCCATTTTCAATAGTTACCAAACCATACTTGTTTTATCTTTTCTTTTTTTCCTTTTGCTCTTCTGCCTTCCCTCCTTCTTTCCTTTCTTCTTTTTCTTTTTCAAGCATTTTGAGAAGAATCTCAGGTCATTTCAGTCTTACACAATTCTCTATAAAATATGGAGATTTTCTTACATAGACACATTTCATTTTCACACCTAACAGAAAGAACATTAACTCCTTAATATCATCAGAGACATAAATTTCTGTCTCACACATGTCTTTTTTTCAATTGGTTTGTTTAAAAAATATGATCCAAGCAAGGTCCGTAATCAAACCTACTTGTTATGTTTCTTTAGTTGCAATTAAGCTGGGAAAAAACCTCTTTCCACTTTTTTTCAGGTCAGTGACTGTAGAAGATGAATTTATGCTTTTTTACTTTCAAATGTTTTAAATTTTGTTACGAACAGAACTCCAAAGATTTACACTTTAAGGAATTTTGCATCCCTTAGTCTTTGCCAGCTTATAAAAAAGAAGGCAGAGTTACAAAACAAAATAACCAGGCTTATGGGGTAGGGGAGAGAAATTACTCTGTTTTTGTTATTTTATTTGGCTCTATAATATTAAACAGATTCAGAGATCTCATTTTCCAAGTAGAAACAAAACATTATTGAGTACAATTAAATTATTTCAGTCACATTTTCCTAGCTTAACACTATTAACACTTCTTGCTTCTTTGGCTGCTTTATTTTTCTCTCTGTAAGGACCTCTGAAAAATAAAGATTAAACAAAAATCAAGAAATCATTGAGACTGAGACTTCCAGTTCTTGATCTATGTATATCTTACTTTCTTCCTTATGAATGAAACTTTGACTTAAAACTGAAATGTGTCTAACTTAAAAGCTGTGCTTTCCAACCTCCCTTGAAGATAGAGATGGTATTAAGACTCAGATCTGGCCAAAGAGATGTAGGCACAGGTAGTTGTGAGGAGACATGAGGAAAGCTCCTTTTAA